GATGGATAATGAGGTTCAAGGCTTGCTAAAGAGAGAGAATTACTTAAAATAGAAAAAATTAAGAGAACTTTTAGACATAGAGTGATCATGTATATGGTAGTCCTATATCAAAAGATTAAAAAAATCTGATATAATATGTTTTTTTTGGAAGATTTTTTTTTCCATGAAACAAACATTTTATTAGAAAACAAAAGATCCTTACAATACTCAAAAAAGTTTCTTAGAACTATCTGTAGACCAAAACAATGGCTCTTGAGACCTAAAGCAATCTGAACTACTTCAATAAGGTGCAGGTAGCCCATCCTTCTAGAGGTTGAATACAAGGGAGGTTGGAGGTAAATTTACCCACCTTGAAAGACACATCCCCTATTTAGCTTGGTTCGTAAACCAATCAATAGCCATATTAACCTTTCTTTGTACCTAGCTAGCTTTACTTGCTTCCAATTCTGCTCTTAGTAGTTCAATTTCATTAACCACTGTTTTAAGTATCCAGTTAGGTAAACCTTACTTCCACAACAACTTTTATGTAAACTTCAAAATCTGTTTCAATTACAACTTTTCTGCACCCTTCTTCTTTTGCCAATGTGACTCATTTTCTAGTTAAGTGACCAAGCATATGCTTCTATACATGAATTAACCATTACTCTTTCACACCTGTTAGGCTGCCTCTTATCATTGCTCCATTTGAGTCTCTGACAATAGCCTCTATCCTTACGTATTTTATATCAATAACCATAGGTCCCATCACAATTCACTTTGACCTGTCCCTCCTCAGTTTTATACCATCCTGATATATCCTTCATTCTCTTCCTGAAACTCTGATTATTATATTTTTCATTTAAAATAATGAATTCGACAATAGGTTTATACCATCCTAATATATCCTTCATTTTCTTCCTGAAACTCAAATTACTATATTTTCCATTTAAAACAATGAATTCGACCACAGCCTCCTTATCTTGGAAATGGTAACCAACACATTTGGCCTATTTTTACTAACCATAGCATTACACCTCTCTTTTCATGTTAGCCAGAAAAAGAAAGCTATGGATACAAATACTTGCTCCATAGCAGTGGCATCTGACATAGCCAGAATTTCCTTAATCCATACATCTAATATAGTAGTCTGATGTCTATTAATGTTATAAACAACATACACCCTGAACATTACCAGCCTAGTTTATTCACATAGAAACAAAACATGTTCAATAGTTTAATTAGAAAGTTTAGAGATGAAGATCTAATAGACATTTTTATTAGAGTTTAAACTTTAAACTCTATAAGAAAACCCTAATAAGTTACTTAAAAGTAACAAATCAATCACTTTTATAGTCCTATTTAGTAAATATTTTTCATTTATGGCAATAATATACAAGAAACCTCCCAAGCATACAAACACAAGATGAATGAGGCCATCACCAACCCCAATATTAATGAATAAAAACAAATAGTAAAATATGACTAGAATCAACCATGCAAAACACATAATCATGAAGCCTTATTTCAAATTTTCTTTTGAGAAATCAATTGTGAAACTACAAATAAATCACTTATGATCTCTTAAATAATTTGCCTATTGTTCAATTATAACATTGTTGGTCACTGTCAATTTTGAAGAAAATTAATAGAAAAATGGATGCTTTTAGGAACTTAACATTCTATATATCATTTTACTCTCATGTAGACTTCCAAATTGCTTGCATGTTTTATTTTTCTTATTTAATTATTTAACCTACTTATTTCCTAATTTTAATTTCTTTATGTTTATGTGAATATAATCACTTAAAAGTTAAAAGTCTTTGGATTGAAAAAATAAAAATGTACTAATTAATGAGAGAAAAAGATAGTCTTAATAGACATATAATATTTGGATTTGTTGTTTTTGTTTCTTTTTATTTTAGATTTTTTACTATTTCCTATATTTTCATGTTTGCAAAATGTATTAAAAAAAAGGTTTGCAAAATGATATTTATCGAGGTCTTTCGGCAACTCGAAATCTAAAATGTTCAACTAAAACAATAATTTTGAAAAGAATCACATCACCATCCAATAATACATAAAACAGTACAAAAAGCAATGAAATTGAAGTACCATACATCATTGTCATTGTTTGGTTTATTGAATTGAGAGTTTTTCGCATTATGCCCTTGCAAATTAGGAGAAACATCAATAGTAATAGCACATACCATTAATTTAAAAACTCCAAAAGATAGAAGAATTACATGCTATTATTCTTGCAACTATATATTATGGTGAAATAAATGTCAGTTTTATCAAAGACTGTGGAATATGAATAATTAGCACTGATGTTGGATATTTTAAGCTATAATGATAAATCATGAGTTATGAGTTGTTCCTCAAAGGTGTTAATCTGTTTGGAGGCAACTTTATGTGGTATTCTAAAAGTCAAGTGCATGTGTGGGCTAGTTTCAGAGTAAAAGTCAATTAAACAGAGGATTAGTTAATGAAACAGTAGGTTGAAAGTAGGTCAGTAATCCTATGTTTTTTTTTACAATAAATAGACAATTTGTTGGAATATAGGATGTTATATACTTTTCCCCCTTAACCAATTTGCAAACTTATTTATAAGGTAATACCTTTTGTCTAGTAGTAATAGCACAAATGTATTATGACTTGGTCTTTTCTACCACTCCAATGGTAGGGTGCTTTAATTTGAAAGGCTTAAAGTGATCATTTATAAGATTTCATTTGATACTTTGACTTTTGGGAAAATATAATCAAGTTGACTAATCAACTTAGCAAGTGATTTTGTTCAATATAGAGGAAGTGATTACCATTCGTTTTTAGTCAAACTTTATTTACTGCACACCAGTAGCATGCCAACTTCTTTTACCAGCATACCGGGTATTTGCTACCTAGTTAGCATTAATTTTAAGTTTTCTATTTTGGTAGAAAAGGTGTATCAGCTTGATTTGGGTTTATTTCATACCTATCTTTTTAACTATTGTTATCTAGCAATAAATTTACTTAGATTATAAACAACTGGAAGGCTTTAAGATCTTTGAGTATATGAAAAAAGGATAAGGTAACAAGGAGAATCGAACAATCCTACCCAAGCTCTATGGCAAGTATTTAAGAAAGGAAAAAGGCACAACAATTTGGGTTGAATTTCAAGCGACAGGGTGAATAACTAGAAAGGTCAACAACAAAAGGTTGTAAGATTTAGTGCTAGAAAATTAATGCTGACTAGGTTGGATTCATCATTGATTATCTGCTTGAGCATTGAACTTAATTTGCATAACCCAAAGCAAAAGTTCGAAAGGAGAAAAACAGATTAAATAGAAAAGGAAATGATTGGTTTATTACCTTTGAAAGTAGCTTATTCAAAGATTTTATCTCAGACTTGTATTCTTCATTTTTTCTTTCTTTTTCAATACATTATTCAAAAATTTTATGTTAGACGGTTATTCTTCTTCCTTTATTTTCAATTTTTTTTTGTATTCTTCTTCCTTTATTTTTAATTCTTCATTTTTTTTTTTCACTTCTTTGTACTTATCCTACATTTACAAATAAAAAAGATAAATTTCATAAGATGGAAAATAAATAAATAGGGTAAAATATAAATAAAAGACCAAAAAGATTGAGCTTGTATGTTGTTTAAAGCTAGGTTTTTTGACTTGCTGGATTTTGTGCATTTATTGTGCAATGTTTTAGAATGGTAGGTTTGAAAATGGTGTGAGATAGTTGTGATTTTATGGTAATGAATGTGAGTTGTTAATGATGGCGATTTCAATGGTGGTAGGATTAGGCAGTTTGATGGTGATAGATTTTTGGTCAGTCGTTTTCTCTAAGCCTGTGTTTTTTGCAAAACTCTTTTATGTGATTTTTTCTTTGTTTATATGTGCTATTTTGATTGTTGGAGAAAATGTGTTGTGGATTGGGGTGGTTAAAGGTTATGGTTGGAAATGATAACCATGCATAATGGATGGCTTGGTGGCTATGGCTAGATGAATTTTTTGGCAATGTTGTGGTAGATTAAAGACTTCTGTGGTGTTTATGATGACGATAGAAGTATGGTAGAGAAAAAAACAAAAATGGTGATGGAGCTGCTAGTAATTATTAAGTTTTTCTTTGTATTTTTCACCTTTGAAAAAAAGTTTATATAACACGATTAAGGTATGATTTCAATTCAAAAAACCAAGTATCTTATCACCTTTAATTTGAATTTTGATTTAAAAAAATAGTAGATTTTTAGGATTTAATAATAAACGCACAATTTTATCCTTGCTTATCTTTTTTTTTTTTTTTTTTTTTATATTTCTATAATAATAATAAAAGCAAAAATAAATAAATAAAATAATAAACCAATCCCAACACACAAATAACCTAAGACGAAATAGGGTGTCTACCCAAATATTTAAATATTTTATATGATAAAAATATACAAACTATCGAATCTAATTAAATACAAAAATCCCTCTTAAATGGAATGAAATTCAAATTGGCCTTTAATCAAACTAAAACCATTAATTATATAGATTAACCTACCTTTTACACTAATTGGTAGGTAAAATTTACTACTAATTTTATTTTCCTACTTCCAATTTTCATCTTTATACATTGACACACTTGATTTTATTTTGAAAATAATACACTTTATTTTTAATTCCCTTAACTATGCATTTATCTTTAAATTATTTGAGTAAATATATTGACATTAATTATTGCATTAAGACTTACAAAAGAAACTACATTAATTTAAAAATTCACTTCATATATTTTGTACACAAAATCAATTGGACATGCCTAATAATAAGCAATTTTTTGTTGAATTTTCTTTTACAAAGATCAAAGGACGGCATTTGATTTATATAAATCAATTTTATTACAATATTTTTTAATTTCTATAAAAAATATATATACATTAGATTCGACTTATTAATTATTCTTATAATTATGATAAATTAAATTATATACAAAATAATTTGCAAAATGGAAATTTTGTTTAGCAATAATTTACTTTTTTTTAATAAAAATATTTTTCATTGTTTTCCACACTTATTTTTGAAATATCCAAACAAGAAATCTCTCTCTGACCAAAGCCAAAGCATTTTCTAATTTTCTTCCTTTTTCACTTTTCCCACATCTCATATTTATTTGAATCCAAGTTAAGTATGACTAAAACTATAATACATCATTTTCTTCTCTCTTGGTTTTCTTTTATTTACTTAAAAAATTTTCTCTTAGTATTTAAAAAAAAAATTAGTTTTAACTATTTGAAAGTAATATAGTAACAATATCGACCTTTTTCTCACACAACTACAATAGAGTTGGACAGTTGATTATCAGCGATTCCATAACAAAGTTAAAATCCAAGAATGTTCAGTGTACTTATTCCAGTCTATGAGTTGATAAGAAGGCACAACATATAACAAATGTTAGAGGCCTTCCTTTTCACATTTGAAAAGTATATAACATGCATACCTTGGCCTCCGGAACAATCTTCACTGCAAAGATATCTTTCAAGGTTTGAAGCATTTGCTCATGGACAATAGTAGAACGGATCTCATAACCCAACTAAAACGAACATTTAAAAACAAAAATATGAATCACCTACAAAATTTTCTATCACTAATAAAATCAATTTCAAATGGAAAATCAGAAAAACTAGAATACCATAATTGTTAAATTATAGCTTCAATCCAATGTTGAAAAGCCAATTTTTGTGCTTTGGTGTCTTCGGACAATTCCTTCACAATCTGACAAAATTCCAAATTAGATTATTTATGAAAGAAAACCCACCTTTTAAACTAAAAAAAAATAACAAAAAGATTTTTTTAATACCTTAGAAGCATTTAAGCAAACACGACTCCACCTTGGAATAGCAGTTTCTGGTTTCAAATAATTGAAAAACGAAATAGTGCTGTGATTAAGCCTTGCATAATCTAAAACCAGTCACCTTAAAAAATAATAATTACTATCACCAAAGAAATTTACAATTTTAAATAATGTAAAAAGGAGAAAAAAAAAGACAAAGATAAAAATTTTATAAACTTACCAGAGTTCTTCAACGACAAAAATGGAGTTTGCTAACCTTTGTTAAAACAATTAAAGAGAAATTAAAAAAAAAAGAAAGAAAAAGGAACATGCAAGGTAGAGACTCGCCTTGTCAGTGAGCTTCAAACTCCAGGAGAAGCAAATTTCTTTTTACAATCTTGCGTAAAGGATTAAAACAAATCGCATGAATGAGGAGAGGAGCAAAGCACAAATTAAATTGGGATTAAAGGTCATAAAGTAAACTATGAAAATTTTAATTCAAAGTACGGTTACAAATTAATAATAATTCGAAATCAGAAAAACCACAGACACAGAGGAGGTCCTACCAGTACCAGAAGCAAGAGGAATTACGATTGTGGCGGTAATGTTTGTTCATGCGAGGATAAATCTTCTTCTACCAAATTTTAAGTGGGTTTTATGAGCCCATCTGTTACTGATCTATCTTTAGCTCCTGCAGGAGAGTTAACTGTTATTGTTTCTTGAAGATTCGCACATAAAGCTGCTGAAAAATGACAGAATAGAGCAGATGCACCCATTTTTTCCTGCAATCTAATAAGAGATAGAGAAAAAAGTAGAGAAGTGAACGATGTTTGCGAGTCTCAAAACCTCTCACTCCGTCTTTTGACATTCTCAAGCTTAGTGTTTGTTTTCAGTTTTCATTAGACAGATGTTAGCCATATGCTGTGTTGATAGCTTCAAAATATGCTTTCTTCTCAAATTTAACCCTTCATTTTTGTTTAAGACATGTTTAAACTTCAATTGGGGATAATTTTTATCGTAAGTTATAGATATTAAAAATTAATAAATAAAATAATTATTGAACATATAGACATGTGTCAATACTTTTATCTTTGTGGTTATTCCCTCCATGTGTCATGTCTATATTTTAATCTGTTGTATAATTTGTTTGTTGAATTATTCATAAATATTAAAGATGTGTTTAATATAAAAATTATAATAAGATGAATAAAATAATATTATATTAAATAATATTATTTTATTTTATATTTGATGTATATAAAGATTAAAATAAAATAATTTATTTATTAATCAAAATTATTTATATTTAAAATTTAATATAATTTTTTAAAAAATAATAAGATATTTAAGTTCAATCTTATGAATTAAAAATAATTTATTCTACTTTAAAGAATTGAAACACTTTATACTAAAAGAATGATTAACCTCTCTTATAATATTATTTCTTTCTTTAATTATAAATCTAATATAATATAAAATAATTATTATTCTATCTTATTTATTTGCTTATATATTAAACATAATTCAAGTGCTTTGAATTAGTATGAAATGTAGTAGAAGTAATGGTATGTACATCAGTGATGAATCCAAAGTTTTTTTTTGGTATCACAGTTATAATATAAAAAATTATTTATAAATTTATTAATTTTATCGATAAAAAAAATATTTAGAAGAAATTTTTTTCTAAAGTGTTCATGAAAAAAAATTTAATTTTTAATTTTTTAATATTTGGGGATATTTAGGAATATGCTACTTTAAAAGGGTAAATTTTATACGTGTATATATATATTACGTCACTTCTTGGTCGTGGAAGAAGAGTGGAGTTTTCTTTTGTTATTATTTTGGTTATAACAAAAAAGAGAAGTTAGTTAAGAGTAATGATTTTAATATAAATAAAATTTTATTTTAAATAGAAAATTAATTTATACTATCGTTAATGCCAATTAGAGTTTTTTGTCAATATGAAAACTGACAACACTTGGATGTGGTCCAAAATTGAAAAAAGAAAAAAAAAACATTTTTGAAAAAAATTAAAATAGATTTTTTCTTTTTTCTTAAAATAAAATAAAATTTTTCTAACTTTTTAATAACATTAGCCACAGATCATGGTACGTCAACTTCGCACAACAAGGTGCCAACTGTCATCGGATGTAACGACATTCAACATTTTGTTTGAAAAAATAATTTATTTATATACAAATAAGATTTATTTGAATAAATTAAAACATAAAAATTTATCTCAAAAAATAAAAAGTTCAGGGTTTTTTTTAATATTTAAGCAGTAGTAGTAATATATAATGCTTGCTAGTATTCATGCCTTCAATTATTGCAGAGATATCATAAAAGACATCTGGAATACATTATGGTTAAAAAAAAAAAAAGCCTGAGAATATAAAATTATCTAAAAAATCAAACTTGGAAACAAACAGCCGTCCTAGAGAAAAATGAATAATAATTTATTCAAACACAAGTACGTGTGGAGATCATAAACCTAAAAGTCTGATCATCCCCATTTATACAAATAATAAAAAAGAAACCCTATAATTCTCGCTGTACGAAAATCAAACAATCAAACTAAATGTATGTATAAACAATGAAATAATAAACTCTAACGAATAAAACAGTATAGATCTTCAAAAGCATGCATCCAGAAGACAACAGCAGCACAGGGCAGCACAACTGAAAAAGGCAAACAAATACCAAACATTTTATCAGAATTTACTCGTAATAATTGGTCACAATTTCACAAAGGGAAGAAAAAAAAAAAGATTTTAGTATGTACTAATTAGAAAGACTTACCATCCCTTCCAGAATCCATCACCTCTGGACTTGGTTTCGACTGCAACAGGGTTCTGGGAATACTGCTGACCGTCGTCTTTGCTCATCGGGTAACCAGCTGGCGGTGCAGCCGCATAGGGTCCTGGTGCCTTGGATGGTGGTGGGTATGAAACTGAACCATTCAACAAGCAAACCATTTTACTTGCTAGTTTTTTAAATAATTGAGAAACCATAATGAAAATTTTCAATCTACTTAGATGGTGAGGCTAAAATAATTAGTAGTATGGATAAAAATAAAAACCGAAAGATCAATGTGAAGAAGAGTACAAACCTGGCGGTTGACTGATCTGCTGCTGTTGGTTTTGGCTCATCTTTGAATTTGATTTGAATAAGCAGGAAATAAAGATATGGTTTCAAGAACTGAGAAGAAATTAATATCTATAGGAAGAAATATATGTCTGAAGAAGAAGAAGAAGAAGAAGAGCATATATATAGCAGAAGAGCAGAAGGGGAGGGGGGGAATTGGAGGTTTCGTAGAAAGCAAAGTTTTGTCTTTGGGAATGGCAGTCCGCGGCCTGCACCGTCTGGAGGATGGCTGCCAACTCCTAGGTATTTTCCACTCGTTTCCATTATGTCATGACGACATATAAATCTCCGTGTTGGCGACCAAACTAAGCATTTACACGTATGTCCTTCGGAGGGGCCTTTTTTTTTTAATTGACTTTGGTTTCTTCTTATCAATTTGGTACATTCGGCAATCCCTTTTGTTGGTTTTATAAAATCCTAAATTTGCTTACACTTGGAAATTATCCGCATCTGATTTTTTTTTTTAGTGAAGCTTTATTTTTATAAATTATCATTAATTAAAATTTGAAGAAATAATAAAATAACTTTGTAATATATATTTGTTAGAATTTAATTTAACCAAATATTTCAAATAATTAAGTTAAAGTTTAAATTTAAATTAAAATAAAATAAGATAATATTTATGAGACAAAAATTATGTTTTCAATGAAAAGTATGAGAAGATAATTAGTTTTTTTTTTCATGTAAGAGATCACAATTTGTGAATAAAAAAATTATAAATATTAAATTTAAAAATTATTTTTTAAAAATAATTATAAAAAATTAATTAAATTAAATTATATATTGTAATCCTCAGATTTTAGTTCATGCATTGAAGAGATTCAGAGAGAGAGAGAGAGAGTTGGATTTGAACAGAGAACTTAATGCCATGTCATAACAATTACCTAAATACTTAGCAATTATTAATTTTAACATGTCAATTTCATCAAATGACAATTTAAAAGGAAAGAGAATTTATTTTATATATATATATATATATATATATGAAATTTTTAATGAAAAATATTAAATTCAATAAATTTTAGTAATGATTGATATGTAACTTATCATACACTCTGTTTCGTAAAATATTTAATTTTTGCAAACAAAATTAGTATTGACATATGTTTCAATATGTATATTAAAATTTAATAAATAAAATACTTATTGAACATTACAGGCATTTAATTTGGTCTAGACCCGAATTAATTGGACATGGTTTAAAGGGGGCAAATTGGCCTAATTTTTATTGGTTTATTTGTTATTTGTTATTCTGAATTTTATTTTAATTATTTATCTTTTTATAATTATTATTTTAAGAGATAATAATTAAAATTATATAAAAAAATTTTTTGCCATGAATCTGAGGGTTGGTAGAGTTGGAATTACACTTAAGGATTGATATTCTTGAATCTCAGTTAAAGAAAGAATCAGCATTGATTAGAAACTTTTCTGATCAATGCTTATAAATATGGGCTTGAACACATAGAAAACACACACAGAGAGGAAAAAAAAATAGAAACATAGCAAGCAGAGAGAAAGGAGAATTTTTTGGAGTTTTATTTTTCTTTTTTTGAAATTTGACGAAATTTTTTGATGCTAGTTGAATTTCTCGATAAGTTTTTTGGTGCCGGTTGAACTTTTCGACAAGTTTTTCAGAATCTGGCACAAATTCTAGCACGGACTGAATTTTTCGATGAACTTTTGATGAATCAACCTAGATTTCGACAACATTTTTCAGAATCCAGCAGAGATTCAACTGGAGTTCATCTGGTTCTAGAGAAAAAGAAAGAGAAAAGAAAAGGGAAGATAGAGAAGGAGAAGGAGAAGTTTAAGGAAAAAGTTAGAAACCAGCCTTATATACCATGTTAAAATGATGTCGTTTTGGCATTAAGAAACCCTCAGGATTCGCGCGTTTCTATCCGAACCGACCTGATACGAGCGTAACCTGCTTTTGGTTGACCCACATTCCAGTCAACCCTTCAGCTGAGCCGAGTCGAGTAGCGTCCTCTAAACTATGCCTTTGAGTTGCTTTTTATGCCTCAAGTCGAGCTGCTTCAATCACTCCAATTGAGATGTTTTGTTTTTTTGTATTTTATTATTTATGTGTTTGTTTTTTCTTAGTATTTTGCATGATTAAATAAAAAAATATAAATAAAATAAATTTTGAGAATAAATATTAATTATCCAATGATGGAACTTAAATTTCTATAAAATTTCAAATGGTAAAATTCTATAAAATTTTTAGGTAAGAAATTTTGTCTGAATTTATCTTAAATAGTGAAATAATTTAGATAAAGTTTCAAAAATAATAATTAATATTTATTTTCAAAAAAAAAAAATAAAAATTTGGTTGGAAATATTTGATAATTATCCAATAATGAGATTCCTAAAAATTTTAAATGGTAAATTTTCTAAGAAATCTCTAGGCGAGAAATTTCTTTAAATTTGTCCTAAATAGTGAAAGAATTTAAATGAAATTTTAAGAAAAAATAATTATCATATTATTTTCCTTTAAAAAAAAGAAATAAAGAGAATTTTTAAATAGGCCCAAATGGTAGAAATTTTAGAAATTCAAAAAAATAAAATATTTCTAAATTAACCTAAATGGTAAAAAATTTAGAAATCCAAAAAGAAATAAAATAAAAGAAAAAAATTTTCTAGATAGGCCCAAATGGTAGAAAATTTAAAAATTCCAAAAGAAAATATTTCTAATTTGACCAAATAATGGAATAATTAGATATATTTTTGACAAAAAAAAAGAATAACAAATAAACCATCTTCCAATGACAGAACCTTTTTAAGAAATCAAATGTGATTCTTGAATACTTTTAAGGTGAGAATATATTTTTAAGAATTCTACCAAATTGATGGAAGAATTTTATAAATTATTTCTAATATTTAATATAAAGGTTTGAAACCATTAGACTCAAGACCATAAGATAAATTTAAAATAAAATAGTACCATCATTTAGATGGGCATGTGGGGGTGCTATAACCTTTCTCACATGTGACTGAGCTTTCGAACCTTGTTCTGATTAGCAAATCCGAACCTATTCTTTTAAAGACCTTTAGCAAGCTTAGAAACTCCTTAAAAGGATGTATTCCTTAAGCGGTCAATTACACCTAGATAAAAAAGATTTGTGGCAACTCCTTCCATTTGTTAAGTCTAGCTATAGATTTTTGGATCTATATGTTATGATAGTTTGATGACTCCACTGGAAACAGCCATAGAGAGTCAAGCCATAAACTTTTAAATTTATCCTATTCTTTGGTCTAATGGTTTTAAATTGTAATGATTTGTGTTATTTGTTTACTAATGTTTTTGTCTTTTATTTTTGGGGCATGAAACTTATATGTTTTCTCACACACTATCACTTGCATTTACATTACATAAGCTCTATATTTAAGCTCTGTCCCTCTAAAAAAGGAGTAAAGTACCTATACTTTCGTGAGATGATAATCTCCATAATGGCTAGTGAAATACTTCCACTCAAATTGAATCATTTTCGTGGGTAGCCTATGATGGGTGAGGATTGGACTACCTTACTAGTCTGTGATGGACAATGATATAAGGAACAATTTAGAAACCTTTAGTAGTCAAAATCACCTAACCTTGCATATAGTCTACCCTTAAGAGGCCAGCCTTAGAATAAAGCCATTTCTACCCGGTAATAAATGTAACCCGAAGATTAGGACATAGTAAGGAATAGTTTGTGATCTAACCAATTTGTTTAACTTTGTGCATTTGCATTATTTCAATTAGAATTTGCATTATCATGTCATGCATAATTTTCATTGTCATATATAACATTATGCATCCGCATCATTTTCATATTAGATTTCATCAATGAAATTACACATTTTCATTTATGCATCAACATACCAAACATAAAGCATTGCATATCATTTCTAATGACACAATTATGGTACTCAAGGTTCAAGGATAGCTCTACTAAGCAAGAACTTCACTCACCAATACAATACAAATGCTTGAGCTAGACAGATAGAACAAGAAAATTCTAACCATTTTGAGAGGATTGAGAAAGCTCAAGAGAAGCTTGAAGGAGAATTGAACAGGATTCTAAAGGCTTTGAATAACTTAAACAAAGGGAAAAACGTAAAAAAAAATAATAGCTAGCATGATTATCCATCACAAGAGGTGGATGACCTTTTATACTATTTTGGTTTTGGACCGCAGTAAGCCCAACCAGCACAAAGTCCACACCACAAGAGTTCACCTATCTTGTAAGGTACACATACCTTAAAATACCATCAGCTTCAAATCTTGGACAATACCAAAGTTATATAAATTTTGTCTTTATAGAGAAAATAGTAGGATCAATTCAGGTCTCTGATTTGGACGATCTAAAAGAGAATGAAAAATTAAAAATAAAAGAGGGTGAGTCACTGAGGGACTCAAAAGCTGAACAGAAAATGAACTTATTAGAGAAAAGGCTGTAAACAGTAAAGGGCATTAGTTTTTATGGTTCAGTGGATGCTACTGGGCTCTATTTGTCCTAAATATAGTTATTCCTCTGAAGTTCAAGATGTTAAAGTTTAAAAAATATGATGGTACAAAATGCTGAAAGACCCATATTACCATGTATTATCAAAAGATGACTGTCCATGCTCATAATGAAAAGTTGATAATGCATGTGTTTCAAGATAGCTTTACGGGCTCTATTGCTAGGTGGTATATCTAGTTGGATAAAACCTGCATTCATTTTTGAAGTGATATGGTCCATGACTTTATTAATCAATATCAACATATCATAGACTTAGTCTCTAATCGTCTTTTTTTGTAAAATATGAAAAGGAAGACGACTGAGTCATTTAAAGAATATACCTAAAAGTGAAGGGATATTACTTCTCAAATGCAGCCTCTTCTGACTGAAAAAGAGACCACAGTGTTATTCGTTAACATCCTGAAATCTCTCTATTATGAAAAGATGATAGGGAATACAATACAAAATTTTATTAACATAGTGATCTCAGGTGAAATCATTGAGAATGCCATTAAAAATGGTAAGTTAAAAGGAGGAGAAACCAAAAAAGCGTCAGAGAAGAAAGAGATTGAAGTTTAAGCTGTGAGCTTTGATAGACAGTTCAAAGGATATCAACTCTATCTATAAGGTTACTCTCCATACTATCATGTTGTGAACAATACCTCATCCTACCCATACCAGCTCATACCACAACCATCTTACTCATCTACATACCAACCTATTTTTAGCCCCTAAGCTCTTATATACAGTCTTAACATTCAACCTGCCGTAAGACTTTAAATTCGTCATGTTAGCCCAGTAAATGTTTCACCAGAGTAATGAATTACTTGAAAAAAACCCATATTTGATCCAGTCCCCATGACTTATATGGAGT